GTGATGTGGTACCTCAGAGTTGTTTTAATTTGCATTTCTCTAATCAATAGTGATTTACAACATTTTTTCATATGACTATAAATAGCTTTAATTTCTTCATCTGAAAACTGCCTGTTCATAACCTTTGACCATTTATCAATGGGGAATGACTTCCATTCTTGTAAATTTGCCTCAGTCCTCTATATTTTAGAAATGAGACCTTTGTCAGAGACACTGGCTGTAAAAATTGTTTCCCAGCTTTCTGCTTCCCTTCTAATCTTGGTTGCATTGGCTTTGTTTGTGCAAAACTTTTCAATTTAATGTGATCAAAATCATTCACTTTGCATTTCATAACATACTTTATCTTTTGTTTGGTCATAAATTCTTTCCTTCTCCATTCATCTGACAGGTAAACTATTCCTTGCTCTCCCACATAGCATATAGTATCAGCCTTTATATCTAAATCATGTACCCATTTTGACTTTATCTCAGTGTAGGATGTAAGATGTTGGTCTATGCTTAGTTTCTGCCATACTATTTTCCAGTTTTCCCAGCAGTTTTTGTTAAATAGTGAGTTCTTATACCAGAAACTGGAGTCTTTGGATTTATCAAAAAGTAGATTACCATAATCACTGCTTTTGTCCTGCATGCCTAGTCTATTCCACTGATCTACCACTCTATTTCTTAGCCAGTACCAAGTAGCTGTAATACCTACTGCTTTATAATACGATTTAAAATCTGGTACAGCTAGGCCACCTTCCCTTGTATTTCTCTTCATTAATTCCCTTGACATTCTGGACCTTTTGAAGAAAATATTATTTGATAAAACTACCCTATCAGCTATGTAGGTTGGATTGCAGTAGGGATGGACTGAAGACAAAAACAGTTAAAATGCTATTGTAATAATACAGGTCTAAGATGATGTGGGCCTGATTGAAATTTTGTTTGCTTAAGACCTCTATCTTTTTTCTTTAGCTACTTGGTGTTTCATAATCTAGACTCTCTTTGTTATCTGTTTAGAAGCTTCAGTGTTAGACTCTACTTTCTAAGACTCCACTTTCTAGGAGAACCTTCTGCTAACTCAACAACGAATTTTTACAGAGACCTCTACATTTCAATAATCATTGCTTTTACATGAAATACCATTTTCAGCTAAATTGCCAACCTTTCCCTATTCAATCTATCTTTGTGAGTGTGACCTCCTTTTTAAAGACCAAAGCTGAGGCCAAGGGAATAGCTCAATATGTATGAAAATGAGTCAGTGTCAGCACAAAGACCTCAAGAGAACTCAGAAGGAAAGGAATGCATATTTCATCTGTGGAGTTCAAATCTTGTCAAAAAGATACAAGAAGAAAAGCACTGATGCTATAAAAGGACCTTCTTATTACCTACATGACCTTGGGACACATGATTAAACCTCTATTGAGGTTTAATTGAGCCTTGGTTTCCTTTTCTGTAGCATGAAAGTTTTGGACTAAATGGCCTCTGAAGTTCTTTTCCAACCTAGATATATGATCCTATGTTCTTATTTCTTTCCTCTTGGAGCATGCCTAGGCACAATCACTATGAGTACAATACAAGTCAGAGAGAGACAGGATGCAAAGTGTAGCATCAAAGATATCTCCCAAGATACATGTGACCAGAAAAAAAAAAAACCAGTGATCCATTTATGTAGCAAGAATAAGAGGCAAGAGATAGAGTGCCCAAATGTTGTAGTGGTAAATAAGATGCTAAAAAGTAGAAAAGCCACCAGTTTGGGGAAGATTAATGTTTAAAAAATTATGGACAAGAATCACCTAAGATGAAAAAAATATGGTGAGGTTACAATATGCATCAGTGAATGGAAGACACACAAATGAGATGAAAGCTCATACCAGTAAGACTGATCTGATGCAGTTGCAATACAAGATTTAGCTCCTATCCTGTCCCCTCTTGATATGACTAATCTAATTCCTACCCAACCCCTTAATGAGAGGAGAGCATTTAATTGGCCCAGCTCCAAGATGGAGAAATAGGGCGATGGTGGAATGGGAAGAAATCGAAGAGTACAAAGGAATGAGATTTCTCTGAAAGAGATGAAATGTAAAAACCAGCTGTGGTTATTTACCTATAGAGTTTCAACACAATAAAGATACAATTCAATCCTCTATCACTACAATGCGTTGAAGTAGCCCAGTTCCTGAACTGAAAAAAATTGGCAGCAATGGATAGCAAGGAGCCAACCAGTGAAGGAGCCTATTATAAAGCTGACTTGAACAGAAGAGAAATGACTGAAGGGAAAAAGGCCAAGAGAGAAAGTTTGGATATGATCCTAGCCCTCAAGCAGAAAAACCAGCAGTGAGATTCACAAATAAAGAAGAGAAACTGTGCAATCCAGATAAGGCTACAACATAAAGAAAGCAAAACAATAAATTCTACAAAACGTCCCCCCTCGCCCTCCCCCACCCACCCAAAACATATAGAAACAGCAGTAAGAAATCCTGGAGTGGTTCAGAAAAGAAATAAGATTTTTCAAAAGAAGAGTAAAGGTTGAAATTAGACAGAATTTAGGACAGGGATCAGAACTCTCAAAGAAGAAATCAATAAAACAAATGACAAAAACAATTTAGAGCACAAGACTGAGAATATGTCCAAAATGACAGAGGTGCTATGGAAGAATACCAGATTTTATAACTCAAAAATGCAGAAGTAGAAGAACATTTGATCAAATATAATAAAAAGATAACATTTGAATACCTTGCATTCTATACAAATTAAGCCCAATTTAATTCCATAAGCATTTATTAAGCATCTGCTACGCACCAGGCACATAGTGCCTGGTGTCCTGTGTTAGGTCCTGGAAATTCAATGACAAAAACACGACAGTCTTCGACACAAGGAACTTAAACTGAACTCCCCTCCAAACATCCCCACCAGCTGCAGCTTCTTCCCTAGTTTCATAAATGCAATTTTCCAACCTTCTTCTCTTATCCAAACAGTAACTGAGCTGAAATATAAGCTCTACTAATCTTAACAGGAAAAAATATCTTTAATTTCTCATTTAAGTCCTTCCTAAATATCTCAACCAGCCATTCACTCTTCCCAAGTCAAAATATCTTCTAAATGCTGAAATTCATTCACTATTAGCAACTAGTTCCCAAATTACATGTATCCTTAACATCACAATGACTACATTATATTTCTGATATAAATATATATGTGGACAGCTAAGAACTCATGCTTAAAGCATTTATAATGTTTCAACAATCACTTCTCTTCATCCATCAGGGAAATGTCCCAATCAAGGGCAGCCTCATAATTTTTCCATAATGAAAGTAGCCTATACTTGATCTGTCATGAAAGCATAAAGCTAAAAATGACTAAGATATTATTCACACAGGCCAGTATCTTACCCTAATTTAAGACTCTATAAGAATTGGTTACTTTGGAAGGTCAACTTTTAGGCAAAAAGACACCTTGCCTGGAAGACAAAAGGTCACATGGGTAGGTATGTAGTTGATCTGTAGCCAATATGGTATGGTATCCAGACTTCCATGAGTAAGACCATATAAGTCCAGACAATTGTAATTTCCAAAGCAGGAACTACTTGCATATACCTAGATGACATCCTAGGTTTCTATTTCAGTTATACTCATCTCCTTCATGGAGAAAATAAAGGAAAACCCCCTGAATACCGAAACTTCTATTAGACTGTGAGCTCCTTAGGAGCAGAGACTGGGTTTTTGTTTGTTTGTTTGTTTGTTTTTTGGTCTTTCTTTGTATCTGTAGGACTGACTACACATGGGAATTAGGAAGAAATGTCCATAAATTCTCCCTAAAGTGACTTAGACTTCACCAGAAGTAACCAAAATTTCCCACTCCCTTCTATATGGAGGGAGGTAGAGAAATATTAGGAGGATGCTTATACAGCATAATAGCTAGAGGAACCCAGAAGGGCCACACTAGCAAGTGAACACATAACTAGTGATTTGACTGCTTTCTCTTTTAAATATTTAAGGAGAACAAAGGGAGCATCCTGTTGATTTTAAGGTGATCATTTCCTTTTCACCTTTCCACAGATTTGGCTGGGGAGAAGATTTGACTCAGGTAAAGTCTGAGAGCTCAGAAGGGACATAACTACATTATGTATCCCCCAGGGTACTTTGCTCTATTTGAGCACTTTTCTGTGTGCCCCACTTGTGGGAAGCAATCCAGAGGATTGAAAGGGGATTAGGGGAATTTTTATGTCTATTTCCTTTTTCAGTTATGTTATCTGCCATACATGTGTTGAGTACTCTCCTTGAGGTGTATGAACAGAGAAGAGATGTCAATTTACCCAAAATTGTGATAAGGCAATTCAGATACTTCCCAAAGTGTTCATATGGCATTTTTTTTCTGAGACTCTGTCTCCCATCAGCCTAGGGGCATGTTTGAGAATTCCAGACATAACATGTCGCATCTTGCCATTCCTCTTAGGTTCCATTGTCTTGGTGCATCTTAATTTTTCACTTTATCTCTGCTCATGAACTGAATCATTAAAAAATAAAATAAAATAAAATTGACTTGACCTAATTATGATTCATATCTCAGCAGTGTCTTTCATTTCTTTATTGATCCAAAGTTAAACCAAGAGGGCTACCACTGTTTCAAAATACAGGCATCTTTATTTCACTTGAAGTCAATTTCCACACGAAATAAGAAAAACATGTTGCATTGCTATAGCTCTTTGAACTTCACCAAGTGTTTCACATCTCAATACAATTCTACAAATATTCACTGACCACCTATTATCCTCTCAGTGGAATCTGGTTTTCGGAGGGCCTGAAATATAAACCAGACCTCATTTTATCACAGCTTCCATAACACTCAGCCCAGACGCACTGGAAAAATAAAATTGCTCCTTTTTACAGCAACATTTTTATTAAAATAGTTCTGTTGACAACAAATTCTTTATGTTAGGGCTCTTCAGCAGACTGAATTGTTACCTCTTTGGATTGTGGTTTCTAAGATCTCCGACCTCATGTAATTATTTGGCTTTTAATCCCCTAGATAGGTATTCTTCTTTTCAAAACTTAAAGCTCTTCTCTGGAAATCCACTTCTTGCTTCATTAAGCCACATTGTACTATCCAGAATTAAATAGTATACCTCATTTCTTGTCGTCGTGGTGGGTGGTATTTTTTTTTTAGTGCAATTTTGGAAATGATTTTGGAAAGAATAACATGAAATTTTAGGTCATTCTCTGGCCAAATTAAAATTCCTTCAATAGTGTTCATTTTTATTTTAACTCTAGGGAATTATGAAAAGGGGATTTATTTAATTTTCGTGGTTCCCGTCTCCCTTCCCCACCCCCAACCTTTTTTCCTAATATTACCTTCCATTTACACATATAGATCTTATGTGTACATAGTCTTTTACTCATTAAGTTGTGAACTCCTTGTAAGCAGAGACTGTTTTTGCCTTTCTTTGTATCCCCAGCACTTAGCACAGTGTCTGAAACATAGTGAGTAATAAATACTTATTGACTGACTGAAAAGATTTAGGAGAAATGGAAGTTGTGGCACATGATAATGGTCTTTAAATATTTGGAGCCCTGTCAGAAGGAAAAAAGATTAGTCATATTCTGCACAACTCCAGAGGTCAAAACTGGAACTAATGTTTGGAAGTTCCAGTGAGACATTATTTTGGACCAATATTGGTGAACAATTTCCTAACAATGAGAGCTACCCATTGATGGAATACACTGCTTTCTGAGATAGTAATTCACAATCACTGGAAGGAATGTTGCAGAGGGGATTCCTGAGTAGGTTAAGAGGGTAGATTTTGTCTCTAAGGCCCCATTCAACTATAAGTTTCTCATAGTCTAATACCCTCTGCTTGTTTGTAGTAATCCCTATGCACGTTTTCTGACCAATTTTAATTTTCTCTTGACACTGTAGTGGGGAATTCCCAATTCTCAATTTAGGAGGTCCCTCCTCACAAGTATTTTAAATGATGCTTTTTTCAACATTTCAGAGATGTGATAGATTTTAATGAAAAAGCTTAAAAAGTTATTTTTAAGTCATGGTTTAAATAACATAGATGATTTAGATTTTAATTAATGTATCATTTAATTTGTCAGTGTATCTATTGGAGTAGACAAGGACAACGGGGAAACATGTCATATGGAAGAAGAATAAGGTGATGGGTTGAACAATGGATTTGGAATTAGGGGACCTGCACTTGAATCCTTGCTCTTCTACTTGGCTTGAATCATATGGATATTTGCCTCAATTCTCCATTTTTCTTTTGCCTGTGTAGACATAAGCATGGGTGGGAAAAATGCCAAATTTAAAAAAAAATAGGCTAAGCAAGACTTCCTATAATGGGGCAAAATAGATATTAGTAAAAAAGTTGCTTGCCTTGCTAGAACAAAGACACCAAGTGCACCTTTTAGGTCCTTTCTAGCACTAAATCTATGATACTTAATCTAGAACTCATTGCCCTCTTTACCTTTTTCATTTTTTAGGGCTGTAGAGACAGTCGTTTGGCCTGGAAGGAGAGCACGATTATATGGATATAAATGCTGAGAGGGACCTGAAGCCAGATCTGTGCTAAGAAAAGTGCAAGGGGTAAATAAATGTTAGTGGGGAGTGTGGAAGAAGAGCAAATAACAGTACTATCTCACTATCAAACCAATAGAACAATATCTCAAGGGAAAAAAATAAATAAATGGAAGCAAAGTTGATGAAGACATGGAAATCATATGGCTAATGGGGAAAAGCTATTTTAGACAACTAAGGACTTTTCAGATTTAATGTCTGTGAGCTTTGTTTTCTTTGGAATAGGAAGGTCTGAACTTCCATAGTTTGCAAACATGGTACTGCATTTGAAGTAGGTTCCAGCTGGATAATTATGCTTTCCTAGCAGCCTTAGTGGTATTGTGTGTGTTTATGTTTTAATCAATCAGTGTTCTTGATCTTTACAAACTCGTGCCATATTCACACATGTTCCTCAAAGCGAAAGACAAATATGTTGCTAGTTGAATTCCACTGTGTTTCTGAGAACATATGTGATAATAGTTGTGGTAGTGGGATCAGGAGGAGAGACCAGTGAGGGGATGGGATGTGTCTGCATATTATTGTGTTTTTCTGTATTTAGGGCTCTTGTAAGCCTAGAAAGGAGCATCAATAATCATATATATTCTTTGTGATACCACACCATTTCTAACTCCGTAAGTGTAATTTGCTTAGTTATATGCTGTTATATTGAATATGAAAAAAGTTCTGGAACAAATTAAAATATTCTTTGGAACAAAGTGACAAAGAAAGGAATGCCACTCTCCCAACACAGGAATTTCTTGAATGAACTAAATTGGTATTCCCTTACACTCTAGCAAACAATTCTGTCTCTTCAGTTATTTTCAACATCATGGAAATAAGGGGGGAAAGTGTTAATCTAGGAGTCTTTTAATATCTAGGATTGTCTTTAGATGAGGTATTTAGGACCACAGGCCAAAAAAAAAAAGCATTATAGTGGCCTAGAAATTAGTCTTTAAGGCTCACATATAATAGTACATTCCTCTTTCTCTTTATATTGCTCATAAGTTTGTAAGGGAGAGATCCCGGATCCAATCAAGTTATTAACTGATCAAAAAGCAAGGAGAAAAAAAAATGGTAAGAGCTTTCTCCCTGTTCTTTTTTTTCCCAGTGATATTCTTTACCTTATCACATTCTGTAATAGGATAATAGAATCATAGATTTTGAGCTGGAAGGGACCTTAGAGATCACTGTGTTCAACCCTTTAATTTTATAGATCAGTAAACTGAGGCTCAGAAAGGTTAAAGTGATTTGTCTCCTTGCATACAAAGAATAAACCATGGACTTACCTTGACTGCGAAATGTAAAGCACTTAGCACAGGGCCTGGCACATAGTAAGATTTGTGTAAATGATAGTTATTATTATTGTTATTATTTTTTTTTCAAAAGTTGAGACAGAGTTGGACTGATACAAACAATTCAATTTAAAATCCAGCACCTACTACGCACAGAATACTGCACTGTGCTGGACATAGAGGGAGACATAAAGTTCAGATAAAACATGACTCTGGCCCTCATGGAGTTTAGAGTCAAAGAGGGGAGAGATAGATAGATAGAGGGGAGACATAACACAAATAGAATCATAGTACAAAAATAATAAATTTACTACATATAAGGTACATGGGGTGTGGGGTGTGCTCGGGAAAGACTATTGCCTCTTGTGTGAGGGCTGCCAAACCCTTTTCAGGGCTTTTTTCAACCTTCAGTGTCCACTTGATTCACCCAACTCTCACCTGTGGCTCCAAGAAGCTGTAGCATGTGCAGTGGCCACACCCCAGGAAACTGTTTTGGCAGGTGGGCTAAACAAGGTTGAGGATAACTGAGGGGTCTCAAATCCTTTGGTGAGTTAAGAGAATATCTACCCCAAGCATGTAGAGACTTCCCCCACTGGAATGGGCAGATAAGAGCAATTTGTCCAATAGCCATGATGGTGGCTGAAACAGGCACCATGGGGCCCTTAGAGCTTGGCCAGGCACCAAAGATGCCAAGGTCATCCACTGCATCCTGAGCCATCACCAGTCATCTTGACTTTTGTGTTGCCACTGGACTTCCATGACTCTGGAAGAAAGAGTGAGGCCAGTGACTTAACACACCTCTGCCTCACTTAACTCCAATTTATGCACAAATCAAAAGACATCATCCATATCATTTTACCATTTTCACCCACCTCAAAGATGACAGACAAGTGATGAAGCCACACATGCAGATACACTGGGAGCTGTAGTCACAACCATGCACATAGATAGCGCAGGCCATAAGGTCATCTTCTCACTGGACTGAAGAAGCAGTGGGATTCAATAGCTCCCTGGGTGTCTGAGCAAACTTTTTGAAAGACCACTCTGCACTGTTCACCTCCTGGCATGAGAAAGGGGCTAGAAAAGGTGCCCTAAAAATTGTCGGCTTCACCCAACTCTGCCTTGCTTACCATGGCAAGCAGAGATCTCACCCTGCAGTGAAAACACAAAAAATACACAAAAACTTTTGCAAAGATGATTCTACTCATCATTAATTATCATCAATGTGCCAAAAGAGGACAAGCTTATAATGCTAGGTGACTTTAATGCAAAAGTAGGCACAGAATAACAGACATGGCAGGGAGTCTTTGGGAGGAATGGAGTCAAAACAACAACAATAGTCACTTATTACTGAAGACCTGTGCATCTCATGACCTTATTGTCACTTCCTTCCATTTATCTAAACACCATAAAATTTTGTGGATGCACCCTCATGGAATGTGTACGTGCTTATGGACAACACAAAATCCAGTAGACCTGAAAGATGAACAGCTCTTGCTGCAAGAGAATTCTGCAGGTATCACATTCAAATAGTAGCTCTGAGTAAAACAAAGCTGGCAAATGAAGGGCAGCTAACTGAATTTGGAGCTAGATACATGCGTTTTGTTTTTTTCTGAAGTGGCCGCAATGACAGGAAACACCACGAAGCTGGTGTAGGTTTTGTAATCAAAACCAATCTAGTCAACAAGCTTGAATACCTACCAAAAAGAGTGAATGACAGGCTCACAACAATGTAATTGCCACTTGCAGGAAAGCACCATGCCACCATCATCACTGCCTATGCTCCCACCATGACAAAACCTGATGAGGTAAAAAAAAAAAATTGGAGACCTGGAGACCGTTATCATCAATGTGCCAAAAGAGGACAAGCTTATAATGCTAGGTGACTTTAATGCAAAAGTAGGCACAGAATAACAGACATGGCAGGGAGTCTTTGGGAGGAATGGAGTCAAAACAACAACTATAGTCACTTATTACTGAAGACCTGTGCATCTCATGACCTTATTGTCACTTCCTTCCATTTACCTAAACACAATAAAATTTTGTGGATGCACCCTCATGATAAATATTGGCACTTAACAGACTATGTCATTGTAAGGAGAAGAGACAGGATGTGAGAGTGACAAAGGCAATGTGCAGTGCAGAGTGCTGGACTGATCATAGACTTATCCTCTCCAAACTAAATACTTGTTTTCAACAAAATTTCCAGCCCCAAGGCAAGACAACTATCAAAAGATCTGCTGTCACAGATTAGTATGCTTTTCCAAGCAGGAACAGTGTCTTGCTAACTTGAGGGAAAGCTGAACCAACACACGGTTGGCAACAGTGGAGCAGAAAAGGAGGGGGCAGCTTTCAGTGAGTTAACATACAGCACTGTATTTACTTATCTGAGCCACAGCACTCACAAACATCAAGATTGCTTTGATGAAAATGATGGGAAAATTCATCAGCTGCTAATAAAAATGAGAACTCCATAGGGTTTGCCAGTGGGACAGTTCTTTCATCTCTATGAAGGCAGCATTTAACTCCATTAAGAGTAAGGTGTGAGCAAAGTTTAGAGAGATGTAAGATTCTTGGTTCTGTAAAAAGTGAGGTGAAATTCAGTTTTATGCTGATAGAAGCAATCCAAATAATTTTTATGATACTCTGAAGGCTTTTTATGGGCCAAAGACATATGGTGCATCTCAATCATTCAGTGCTGATTAGTGATAAAGACAGGATCCTAAAAAGAAGGGCTGAACACTTCCATAGTATTCTTAACAGAGCATCAATCATGTTGAAGCCACTGACCATATACCTCAGGCTGAAGTCAATCCCTCTCTAGATAAATTTACATCTGAAGAAGAGGCTTTTTAATGCCATTAGACTCCTCTAGTGTGACGAAGTAAGTAACTGGTGTTGATTCTATTCCAGCTGAGATTTACAAGGCAGAGGGTCCATTGCTCACACAAAAGCTGACTGCAGTTATCTGGGTTATATGGCAAGAGGAGGTTATCCCCCAGGAATTCAAGAATGCCTCTGTTGTCTGTCTCTATAAAGGTAAAGTAAATATATTGTCCTGTGACAATCACAGCTGAGGTGGAGTGGGGGATGGGTGTGTCTCTGTCGTAGTCATTGCTGGCAAGATTCTTGCTAGAGCCTCCTTAATAGGTTGATCCTTCACCTGGAAGATCGTTATCTTTCTAAGAGTTAGAGTGGCTTCAGAAAGGGTCAAGGAATGGTTGATATGGTGTTTGCTGTCCAACAACTCCAGGAAAAATGCTAGGAGCAGAACAGAGGTCAGTATGCAACGTTCATCAGTCTTACCAAGACCTTTGATACTATCAGTCATGAAGGCATATGTGAAATTATAGCAAAATTTGGGTGCTCAAAGAAGTTCATCAGTGTGGTATGTCAGTCTCATGAGGGCATGCTTGTACAGGTTCTGAATAATGAACAATGCTCTCGTGCTTTCCCAGTCACCAATGGAATGGTGCAGGGCTGTGTGCTTACTCAAGCAATGTTGTCAGATGCCTTCAACAAGGACAAAAATGACATCAAAGTCAGCTAACGGGCTGATGGTAAAATATTTAACTTGAAAAAGCTAGAAGTCAAGAGTAAAGCAGAGGGAGAGCTGGTGCATGACTTTTTGTCAGCAGATGATTGTGCACTCAATGCAGCCTCTGAAGTTGATATACAACAAAAGTATGGATTGATTCTCTGCCACTTGTGCCAATTTTGACCTGACAGTTAACACCAAAAAAACACAGGTTCCACCAGCCAGCACCCCACCATCCATATGTGGAACTATCAGTTACAACAAGTGGAGAAATTATAAATGCTGTGGATAAGTTCACTTACCTTAGCAGTATGCTTTCCCGGGATTTACACATCCATGATAGAAGATAAGGTTGATACACACATTGCCAGAACTAGTTCAGCATTTGTGAGGCTCTAAAGGAAAGTGTGGGAGAGAAGAGGTATTAGACTGCCAACCAAACTGAAGGTCTACAGAGCCGTTGTGCTGACCTCATTGTTGTATGCTTGTGAAACCTGAACAGCAAGTTAGCAGCATGCCAAGAAACCAAATCTCTTCCATTTAAATTGTCTGAGGAAGATTCTGAAGATTACACGGCAAGATACGGTCCCAGACACTGAGGTCCTTTCTCAAGATGAACTGCCAACCATTCAAACCCTACTGCAGAGTGCAACTCTGATGGGCTGGCCACATTGCTCAAATGTGAAACATACTTTTGCCTGAAACACTACTTTACAGAGAACTCACACAAGGCAAGTGCTCACATGGAGGTCAAAAGAATGACACAAGGACGCTGTCAAGGTCTCTCTGAAGAACTTTGGAACTGATTGTGTGACATGGCACACGCTGACAAGGACCACCAAGCATGACATGCCCACATCAAAGAAGGCAATATGCTGTATGAGTGAAGCAGAATTGCAGTAGCTCCAAAGAAACATGAGATGCACACATTTAGAGCTATCTTCACTCCAAATGTTCATGTGGACTATTTGTGCCCAACCTGTGGTAGAGCCTTCCAAGCTCATATTGGTCTGTTCAGCCATAGTCAGACACACTGTATGCCCACCCCAACATAATGATGTCATTTTAGTCCTCTTTGAGAGCAAAAGATAACAAACAACCAAGAGGTATGTGCAAAATGCTATGCAAAAACCAAGGAAGAAAAAAAAAACATTTCTGCCTTGAAGGGATCAGTCTTCTTTGAAGAGGTAGCATTGAAATTGGAACTTAAAATATAGGTAGGAATTCAACAGCTGACAGAAGGCTTTCGAGGGAAAGCACTTTGATCAAGGGCCAGAAAGCCTGAAACACACAGACACCTGAGTAGTTGAGTTTGGCTGGATCACAAAATACATGGTAGGAAGAGAAAGAAGAAACAGAGTTGGAGACACAGGGGGTGTCAGACTGTGAACATCCTTGAATGCCAGAAGTTTGACCTTTACTTTTTAGGAAGTAAGGCATCACTGAAGAGTTTTGAGCAGAGGAGTTGATGAAATGAATGCATAAGATAGATTAGTCTGACAATGACGTGACGGCAGGTTGGAGCAGGTAGAGAGTAGAGATGGGGAAGCCCTAATTGGGAAGCTTTTGAAATAATCAGAGGTGCAGCTAAGTAACATAGCGAACAGAGTGTTTGGCCTACAGTCAGGAAGACCAGCATTCAGATCAAGCCTCAGACACTTACTAGCTGTGTGACCCTGACCAAGTCACTTAATCTTTGCTTCAATTTTCTCATCTATAAAATGGAAATAATAATAGAACCTTATTCTCAGGGTTGTTGTAAGGATCAGGTGAGATAATATTTGTAAAGCACTTAATATCGTGTGCCTAGCACATAGTAAACATGTTATAAATGTTAGCTGTTTTGGAAACTGAGGTAGATAGAGGCCTAGTGACCTCCTCAGGGTCACACAGCTAGTAAGTGTCTGAGTTCGGATGTGAACTCAGATCTTCCTGACTTTAAGTCCCAGCATTCTACCCGTTATACTACCTAGTTGAATTATATCTAACAAGTTTGGGGGTACAAGAAATAAGCTTAATAGTATATATGTTGAGTTTGGGAAACCTGTCGGCTATCCTGATAGAGATGTTCTATGGCCAGCTAGAGATAATGATCTAAAACTTTAGAAAATGTTTTCTCAAGGGCTAGGAGTCAAAGCTAGAAGAATATGTTGTGGAGTCGTATTTGAAGAAGTGGTAGTAGAAATTGTTGAAGTGAAGGAGATTTCCAGGCAAAAGGGCACAAAGAGAAAAGAGACCGGAGACACATACAGATCTTCAGAGAATTCTCCTTTTAAGTGGACAAGAAAAGTAGACACAGAGAGTTAGTTAAGAGAGGGAGAAAGAAAACTAGGAAAATGTCACATTTCTGAAGCCAAAGGGAGAAGAGAGTAACTAAAAGCAAGCCATGGTCAGTATTGGCAAGTGTGACAGAGAATTCAAAGAGAATGAACACTGAAGAAAAAGTCTTGGAGCTTCATGATAAGGAGCTCATTAGTGACCTTAAAATGACCAACAATAGTAGAATAGTAAGTTCATGAATACAGATGAGAAGAAGCTGAGAAAAGAGTGACTTGTAAGGAAGTGGAAGCAATTGATCCCGGAAGCTTTTACAAGGAATTTGACTATAAAGTGAAAAAAAAGAAATGAGGAAAAAATATTGAAGGGGGTAGAACGGTCAAAGGTGTTTTGTTTGGTTGGTTGTTTGGTTGATTTTAATGATTTGGAAAAGCTGAACATATTGGTGGAGAGATTGGACGGAGCAAATAGAGAGGGAGAAATTGAAAATTCACAAAAGAGAAGCAGTGATTATTGGAGCAAGATCCTAGAAGAGACCAGAGAGGAAGGGAACAAAGACACATACAGAGAGATTAACCTTAGAACAGCTTCTTTTTTCTCTGCCCAGGAGAATGACCTTTGCAGTAGAAAGGACAGAACAAAAATAGCTCATAGGAGTTGATATCCAAGAGAAACAAAACCTAGCTCCCTTTTGATGAATTCAAGTCACTTGTCCCAGATGAGTTACATCCTCAAGTATCAAAAGAATTTGCCAATGTGATTGCTGAATCGCTGTAAGTGATGTTTAAAAGATCATAGGAACAAGAGAGGTACCACAGGGGTGGAAAAGAACAAATGTCTGAGTTTTCAGAAAAGGTAAGGCAAAAGAGTCCCAAAAATATTGGTCAGTGAGTCAATTTCTGGAAAAAAATATAGAATGGACCATTAAAAAGGTGGTTAATTGAACATGTAGAAGAGGAAACAGTGATTACAAAAAACCAGCATGATTATACAAAGCATAGGTGATGCCAGACTAACCTTACATCTTTTTTTTTTTAAGTCAGGAGGCCTTAAAAGGTCTTTAAAAGGCAGGTATTACAATGAATAGAGTGCCGGAAGTGGAGTTGGGAAGACCTGATTTCAAAGCCAGCCTCAGACATTTACTAGCCAATGTGATCCTGAGCAGGTTACTTAACCTCAGTCTACCTCAATTTTCTCAACTGTAAAATGGGGATAATAATAGTGATAGGGATGGGATCTGAATCCCTAAAAGGAAAAGACCATGTCTTTGGGATCTGGACCCCAAAAAGGAAAACCCCTGGCCTTTCCCACGTGGCCCAGGTGCCTGGTTCCTAAATCTCTGGCTTTGCCTGAGGCATCATCCCAGTAATCCTCATTGTCTGCACCTGGCCCCACCCTAGACCTCCACTCCTTCTTCCTATCTAGACCCCTAATTTCCTTGGCCTGGTCTCTGGCTTTCTGGTCCTTCTCTGTTACCTTACCAGTCACCTCAGACTACTTGGCCACTCCTAGATCCCTCCCACAGTCTTTCTGTATATAAGCTCCATTTTGGCCACCATTAAGGTGCTCAGATTCTTAAAATCTAGCCCATAGCGCAGACTCACTGGGAATCTCATCCACCCCAATTAGTGTTCTAATAAATCTTGTCTGGCTAAAAGAAGGCTTGAGTTGAATTCATTCAGGCAGAATCCGCAACTCTAGCTCTTGTTATTTCGGAGTCCCAACACCCCTACACTCCTAAACCTCAACAATAGCACCTACCTTCTAGAGTTACTGCAAGGATCAAATAAGATAATAGTTGTAAAGTACTAACACAATTATTGCTTGTTTCCTTCCTTCCTTTGACAGGGTTACTAAACTTGCAAGTGAAATATGTTTATTTAGATTTTTCGCAAAGCTCTTGATAAAGTATCTCATGTCATTCTTGTGACAAAGATGTAGAGATGCGGTTAGATGATAGCGTATGTATGAAATAGACAGATTTATATCTTGTTGAATGGCCACACTTAAAATGGAATTGGTTCAGTGTCAACTTGACAGCCAGTAGAGAGCTCAAGGTATCTGGGGTTGTTGTTCAGTTGTTTCAGTCATATCTGACTCTTTGTGACCCCATGTGGGGTTTTCTTGGCAAATACACTAAAGTGGTTTGCCACTTCCTTCTCCAATCTGAGGTTGGCCTTGAACACTTTAACACTTATCAATGGCTTAGATAAAGACACATATGACATACTTATTAGACTTGCAGATGACACAAAGTTGGAAGGGATAGATAAGCTAACACACTGTATAACAGGTCAGGATTCAAAAGATCTTTACGGGCTAAAGCATCGGACTCAATCTAATAAGATTAAATTCAGTAGACATAAAAGGAAAGTTTTACACTTGGGTTTAAAAAACCAACTTTAAAAGTACAAAATAGAGGGAGGCAGATTCAGACAATAGTTTATCTTAAAAAACAAAACAAAACAAAACAAGGGGCTAGTTAATTATTGCAAGCTCAATATGTCAGTTTTTCTACATTGCAGTCAAAAAAAACCATTCTATTTTGGGTTTCATTGAGAGAGGGATAGTTTCCAGAAATATGAAAGTGAGAATCCTGCACTTTGACCTGACTAGACTACATCTAGAGAATTGTATTAAGTACTGGGCACCACATTTTAGGAAGGACATTGATAAATTGCAGCATGCCCAGAGGACAGCAGTCAGGATGGTGAAGGGCATCTTGAGTTATTGTCATATGAGAATCAATCAATCAGCAAACATTATTAAACACCTACTATGTGCTGGGCACCTTGCTAAGTGCTAAGGACACAAAAAGAGGCAAAAGATAATCCCTGCCCTCAAGGAACTCACAATCTGATGGAGGAGACAACAAATAAACAAATACAAGCTATTTATAATACATAGGAAATAATCAGCAGAGGGAAGGCACAAGAATTAAGAGGGGCTGGGAAAGGCTTCCTATAGAAGATTGGATTTTAGTTGGCATTTGAAGGAATCCACGGAAGCCAGCAGATGGAGATGAGGAGACAGAATATTTCAGACATGGGGGACAACAATGAAAATGCCCAGAGCTGAGAGATAGAGTTCCTTGTTCTTAGAGCAACCAGGAGGCCAT